CACAGGTGGTCGGGGGGGTCGAACGGGTGGTCGCCTACGGTAGCAGGGTTCTGTCCCCCGCGGAACAACGCTACTGCGTGACACGGCGTGAATTGCTGGCGATTGTGTTTTTTATACAGAAATTCAGGCCGTATCTGTATGGCCGTCACTTTACGGTTCGCACGGACCATGCGGCTCTCCAATACGCTATGCGGGTGGCGCAGCCATCCGGCCAATTGTCCCGATGGTTGGAGGTCCTTCAGGACTACCAATTCACGACAATTTACCGCAAGGGGTTGCGCCACTCGAACGCGGATGCATTGTCACGGTTGCCGACGCGTACGGAATGCGCATGTCAGTTGGGATCGGCGCGGTGTAAACCTTCTGTCGATGTCCCCGCGGAAGTGGTGCTAGCCGCCACGGATACTACGGGGGTCGACGCCCCCACGGGGAGGGACTCGCTGTTAGCATTGCCTCTCATCGAGTGGGGCCGTCTGCAAATGGCCGACAGCTCCCTACTCGCGCTACGTCGGAAGGTTAACGTTCCCGAGGGCGGGGAAACGCGGGTCGGTTCCTGGGTGTGCAGACAGGGCCTCTTGATGAAGTGGGACTCCATGTCCCGGCGTCACATGCTTGTGGTGCCGGTTGCTGTACGGGGTAAGGTCGTCCTGGCTGCCCATGAACGACTCATGCATCTGGGGTTTCATAAAACGCTCGCCCTCATTCAGCGAGACTACTATTGGCCTGGGATGGGCAGTGACGTGGCGAACATTCTTAAGGGGTGTGTAGGGTGCGCTAAAAGAAAACCGCCACAAATAGCGGCTAATCCACCGCTTCAATCCATTCAAGTTTCGCGCACGAACGAATTGGTCGCGCTAGACATCTTGGGGCCCTTTCCCACTACACCTCGGGGAAATAAGTTCCTGCTGGTTGGCGTAGAGTACTTCACCCGCTGGCCCATGGCGTGGCCACTCGCCAACCAGTCGGCTGCGGCAGTGGCGGACGCCTTTGTCCAAGGTTACGTTTTGGACAAAGGCGCCCCCGAACGCTTGCTGACGGATCAAGGGAAAAACTTTTCGAGTGTTTTGTTGCGCGAGGTGTGCGACCTGTTGGGTACAAAGAAAGTACGTACCTCCCCGTACCACCCGCAGACTGACGGTATGGTTGAACGTCTGAACAGGACGATTACGTCTATGCTGTGCCAACAGGTATGCGACGACCAGGTGGATTGGGACTTACAGGTACCGGGGGTACTAGCGGCCTATCGGATGGCACCCCATGCGGCGACGGGGTTTTCTCCATTTTTTCTGATGTATGGGCGGGAGGCTGATCCGGCCATGGACGTCCAACTGGGGATTTCACAGCCACGTGCGAAATCAAAATTGGCAGACCACATTAAGTTTAACATCGCCAAATTGGCTGAGGCGCGAGAGGCTGCGAGATTGAATTCACGCTCTCGGCAGATCGCGAACGAGCGACTGCGTGAACGGAAGGTGCATACGCACAATTGGGAACCGGGCGATAAGGCCTGGCTGCATTGTCCACACGCACCGTTGGCTACGTCCCCCAAACTGTTGAGACCATGGAGGGGACCGGTGGAAATTGTGCGGGTTGCACGACCCCAGAGTATACAGATTAAATGGGGAAAACGCCGTTGGTACGTGCACTCCTCCCGACTGAAACCCTACGCGGCGCCGCGTGACCCCGGGTTGTGCCGTGACGACCGAGCGTGTGATGTGACCGTCGACTCGGGGAGGGATGTGTCGCAGGCTGATCCTCACGTGTCTCCACCTGACCCACCCCCAGGTGTCTCGGACCTGACGGCTGTTGACCGTCGGGAACCGGAACCCCGCGGCTCGCACGGAGCCCGATGCCTGGCCCATGCCTTCCTGAACTGCCGGCGCCGCCGGATGTCCAACTGCGTCCTGTGCCGTACGACGGTCCGGCAAGGCGGACTCGGTCAAGGACGCAACACTTTTCATGAAAAAAAAAAATTAAATTCTTTTTTTGTTAAAGCCCGACTTCGTTGCCGGCTTCCCCCTCTGCCGGGGTAATGTCCCGTTCAAGGGACGCTCGGACATTGGGACGCTGCATGAGTCGGAGAGAAAAGAAGAGAAAATGATTAAAGAAATTTTTTTTATTGTTACTCTTTCCGCATACACAGTATCGTTGCCATTCGCCGGATTGTGCATGTTGTTCTTGTTGCGGGTGTGGCGGTTGCTGGGTTTTGCGGATTGCGGTGTTCATGTTGTGTTGTTAGGGTTTGTGTTATGTTACGGGGCACACGTGGGGGTGAAGGGGTGTTGTATGTTTTATTAGCAGCCGGGTCGGCTGCGAGCTATGTGGTAGGGGGTGATGTAGTGGTGGTATTGACGTGCGCCGGCAGTGATGGATCACGGGGCGCGGGGTTGGGCACGCGGTGTGGGCGTGGCATGGACGCGCGCGCCGGTGGTGAGGCGCGCTCACACAAGCTGGGAAAAGAGGATTGTAGCGAGTGCGCAGTGATTGGTCAGATAAGTGAGTACTCTCAGCGACGTCCGCAGGAGGGGTATAAAGGGGGACGCGCGAGAGCACTCGTGGTCAGTGTTAACCAGTTGAAGACCGAAGACGGGGTGGAGGAGGTAGGGGCCCTGTGTGGCTCGGAGCCGAGACTGGAGGGACCGTAGTCCGACGCCCGTGTGGGTCGGGACGGTGGTACCCAGAGCCGAGACGGGCACCCCGGCTGGGTGTGTCCCGGAAGGCTACAGGGCGTAAGAGCCCGTGTCAGTACAGCTGAGTGGGTGTTGGTCACCCGTGTAGCTGAGTGGGTGTTGGTCACCCGTGTAGCTGAGTGGGTGTCCGTCACCCGTGTAGCTAAGTGGGTGTTGGTCACCCGTGTAACGAAGTCGTAGCTGAGTGGGTGTCCGTCACCCGTGTAGCTAAGTGGGTGTTGGTCACCCGTGTAACGAAGTCGTAGCTGAGTGGGTGTCCGTCACCCGTGTAGCTAAGTGGGTGTTGGTCACCCGTGTAACGAAGTAGGGTGTTAGTCATCCGTGTAACTACAAGTTGGTGAAAATAAAGAGTGTGCTACCCGTGAAGTCGTCTCCTGCCGAGTTACTACTTTACACATGCAATCTTCGAGGTTACCAAGGCTCTAGATATCTAACTTTAACTTCACTGCTGTGTACAATAGCGTATCATCAGAATATTGATGGAACTTGGTGTCATGCGATGAGATGATATCGCCGATCAGAGAGACGTATGTTAAAATTAGGAAGGGCCCGGGGATGGACCCCTGTGGTATGCAGACTCGGCACAGCATAGGCGATGACTTTCGTCACCGAGCTTTACGAAATGTGGACGACCATTCAGGTACGACTCAATCCACCCCAGTGCTGTACCTGATACACCAAACCTTAATCTTATCTACCGATGAGAATCTCATGGTCCATGGTATCGAAAGTGGCTGCGAGATCGAGGCCAATTAACACTGTGTAGCACCTGTCATCCATGATCTCGTAGAGGTCATCAGTGATTTTTTTGTAGATCCATTTCAGTGCTATGGAACTTCCGGTACACCATCTGTAATGGGTTTAATCTGCCCATCGCAGCGATGTGGGGAACTGCTTTAGACAAAGGCAATCTATAACTTTTGAAATCCTATTCAGGTTTGAGACATTTTTCAGGATTGGCGTTATCAGCGCCATTTTGACCTGGTCTGGGAAACAGCCCTCACTGAACGAAAGACTTTCCAGGTGGATTAGCAGTGGTGCAAGTACGTCCCAGCATGATTTGAGAATCAACGTGTGGATGTAGTTGAGCAGCAATGTCTTATTTAACATTGACACCAGACATAGGTGCCACCAGGTTGATCAAACTCAGATGGCAGACTGGCAAAATGTGATGCCTTAAAGTTATAAACTGCCATCACTATATTATTGGCGAAAAGCGTCGCAAGTACTATGCAAAAACAGGGTTTACTAGTTGATGGGTGGTTGGATTGCAGCAGACCTTTCCTGACGTGCCACAGATCATGGGGGATGTGAGCAGACTCATTGACACGCAGAGCACAGAACGATCTGCGAGATTCAATAATGAGTTGGTTGCCAGATCTGCAAGCCACTCTGTGAGCGAGTCTGACAGTCTTGAAACCAGTTTTCTTCCAAAGATAGTCGAGCCTCCTCCACGTCTGCTTTTCAATGATTGCCACAAGTGACAGCCAGTTATGGCGCACTTTCCCCATTTTCGTTTGTGCTTGTTCAGATAGGCACGAGTTATTCATGAACAGCAGTGATATCATGTATTAATTGAGTTGCAAATGAATCGATCGTCAATGCAGGATTTAGGCATGCCAATTATGACCGGATCTTCTGATTAGAGTCTCGATATGATATCGTTGTGATGGGTGGGCGGATTATCGGTTATGCTCCTTTGCACTCTGCGATCTGCAATACCGACATCTTCGATAACGTCGCTCACATTTACTGCATTAGTGGGTGTGAAGATATGATCCAGAATATTTCCCAAGGGACATGTTGCGCCACTGACGTGCTGGGTTAAACTGTGATTGTCGATCATTTAAGCGAGATCACTGTTCATGTTACCCCAATAATCAGTGAGTCCGGCACAGTTCAGATCACCACAGATGATGTAGCGAGAGCCAAGTGGCCCACAGTCTAACAGACCAGAAAACTTGGAAAAGAATTCCAACAGCGATGAAGACGGCGGTCGATAGATGACAGCGATTGTAAGCTCCCGCGTGTTGTTCGTTATTTTTGCAAGCAGCAACTTGAATTAAAGGATTGTTAATGAGTTGCTCAGGACTTTCACGTAGATGTCTTCATGGTGAATCAGTGTGATCCACCACCATGCGGGCTGCCGGTGCCAGAGGGACAGTAGAGATTGGGAGCATCGAGATACGCCAGAGTATTGCACCTTGATGCCCATAGTAAAGGAGTTTCATAACATGTGTAAGCCACGATACCTCGCCTTTGCAGTGCAAGGCATGCATAGCCACCAGCACCCAGCTCACCCATACTCACCATCAACTCCTTCTCGTGCTTATGCTCCTGATCGAGCACAGCATGACTATAGAAGAGATCCAGAGCTTTATCCATGCACCCCTCGTGGTGCCGGTGGAGCTGCGATATTTTCAGAGGAAATTGGACTTCGATGACCTCCATCTTCCGCAGGTAGAGTTCCTTGGCATCCTCCACTGCCTGCAGGTTGGCGAGCTGCACCACTTGTACCCGTGTGTTCTCGATGCAGACCATGTCACCAGAACGCTGAGCCGCAACGTACAGCTCTGCAACCTGCAGGAACACTGATACATCATCATCATCAGCTGTGATCGATCCACTGCAGTCACCATCTTTCACGGTCCTGCTATATAACTCCTATCAGCATATTAACCGACTCATTGCTCCATATCCTCGATGGACGGTCCTCTCAGACACGTTCCATTTCATAGCCACCACCCCACTATTCTTGATCATCGACCATCCTTCCTTCTCGGCATTGTCCTGCTCAAGCTCACTTACTTATGTTATTAACGTGATCTCTCTAACTTGTGTATGTGTTCTTTATCAGTATCATTCCAAGCACGTATCTCTCTATGCTTGGTTGTGCCCCTTTAATGTTTTTGTTCAAGTTTCTGAATCATATGTCACAGCTAGGAATACACACTCATTAATAATTTCGTTCTTTAGGCACTTCAAATTAGCACCGTTGGCCACGTAGAGTGTGAAACAAGTTCAACATACACACACATAACTTTTTATTATCAAGTAATATTTTCCAAAAGCACTGCAACCTGATCTCATCCAATATAATTTTATTCTGCTCCGCGTTCAATAATTGTCCTAGGTACATAATACTCTACTGCGTATCTTCAATTGTTTAGCGAATGTTCTACGTGGCATCATATTTGCTGAAAAACTCCTGTTTAATCATGAATTAACCCGTTACGTCCTCAGTGGATAACATCGACTGAGCAAAGTAAATTGCAACCATGTGCAAAATAAAGTGCAACCATGCACAATGAATAGCATAAGAGAGGTAAATAGACAGTTTTTATTTTAATGTTTACATTTTATGGAAAGGCAAGTCTGAATAGGTGTGTCTTGCACAGACCATATAATTGAGAGACACTAACACCGTCTGAGACTAGGCTGGAAAGAAAGCTGTCTCTGGTGTGGACCAATCAGTTTCAAAGACAATCCATATATTATCAGAGTGTGTTTTGTTTGCATTCTGACCACAAGTATTGTGGTTAATGCAGACATGATTCCTTGTAAAAGGTTTCAGTTTGGTGTTTTAACATCTTAACACCTGTTTGTTTTACCAGAAAAAAGGGGAAACCCTATTCTCATATTTTGGTACTGGCAAATAATGTCCCATGATGAGAGACACTTAGTGCATTTTAGATGTTTGGTGGCAAGGTGTTCCAGATTTTTGGAGCTGCGTTCGAGGGGGATTAGGCCTTGACTTGCATTCAGCATGACGGCTATCGCAGGATAAGATTGCCTGGTGGCGACTCTTGGGGACTGCTACACCCCAAGGTGCATGCACATGATGATGGTATCCTAAATGGAGGAGAACCAACAGGAGAGGCACAAGGCCCCATGAAAGAGAGCCAGCTTAATGCTGATATTCCAAATCCAGCAAAGGACCTCAGCTAGGAATACACACTCATTAATAACTTCGTTCTTTAGGCACTTCAAATTAGCACCGTTGGCCACGTAGAGTGTGAAACAAGTTCAACATACACACACATAACTTTTTATTATCAAGTAATATTTTCCAAAAGCACTGCAACCTGATCTCATCCAATATAATTTTATTCTGCTCCGCGTTCAATAATTGTCCTAGGTACATAATACTCTACTGCGTATCTTCAATTGTTTAGCGAATGTTCTACGTGGCATCATATTTGCTGAAAAACTCCTGTTTAATCATGAATTAACCCGTTACGTCCTCAGTGGATAACATCGACTGAGCAAAGTAAATTGCAACCATGTGCAAAATAAAGTGCAACCATGCACAATGAATAGCATAAGAGAGGTAAATAGACAGTTTTTATTTTAATGTTTACATTTTATGGAAAGGCAAGTCTGAATAGGTGTGTCTTGCACAGACCATTTAATTGAGAGACACTAACACCGTCTGAGACTAGGCTGGAAAGAAAGCTGTCTCTGGTGTGGACCAATCAGTTTCAAAGACAATCCATATATTATCAGAGTGTGTTTTGTTTGCATTCTGACCACAAGTATTGTGGTTAATGCAGACATGATTCCTTGTAAAAGGTTTCAGTTTGGTGTTTTAACATCTTAACACCTGTTTGTTTTACCAGAAAAAAGGGGAAACCCTATTCTCATATTTTGGTACTGGCAAATAATGTCCCATGATGAGAGACACTTAGTGCATTTTAGATGTTTGGTGGCAAGGTGTTCCAGATTTTTGGAGCTGCGTTCGAGGGGGATTAGGCCTTGACTTGCATTCAGCATGACGGCTATCGCAGGATAAGATTGCCTGGTGGCGACTCTTGGGGACTGCTACACCCCAAGGTGCATGCACATGATGATGATGGTATCCTAAATGGAGGAGAACCAACAGGAGAGGCACAAGGCCCCATGAAAGAGAGCCAGCTTAATGCTGATATTCCAAATCCAGCAAAGGACCTCAGGTGTCGCAATAGGTCAGTGTGACAAGGAGATAATTTGTTAACCAGACCAAAGACGTCTCCGTCCCATGCAGAGCTCTGAACTACGATTGGGTTTGGTTGAAAATCGTGTTTGTTCGATGTAAGAGGCTGTCCACCATCCTTAAAGAGAGGTGCCAATCTGTTATTTTCCTGTAAAATGTTTGAGGCAATATAAGATTTATTTGCCTCAAAAAACCTCCCTTATGTAAAGCATGTGGCAGGCACTGACAGTTTTCCGGTTATCATCGTGCCTCGAGCACCTCTAGCGCCGCTCTTCTTTCCGTAGCTGTGCATGCATATTGTGGAGGTCTTCTGTCTAAAAATGCGAGACAGGGTGTAACACTCATCTCTCATTGCCTTTTGCATGATATTCTCATTGACTTCATTCATGTACTTTTACATGCTTTTCTCATTAACTTTAACACGCTACTCTTTGTTACACATAAACTGACATTAACTTGCTACATTTTTCATTAACTTTTACATGCTTCTCTCATTAAAACACATATTCTCTTTCTCTCTCCCCCCCCCGAGCCGTTCTTATGCTAAGTTCATTAACTTAACATACCACGCTATTTATTACACATATGTAGTGACATAAGAGGGGAGGGGCTGCTGGGGGCTCTGTGTACCCTAGGCAACCCAGACGCTTAAGCCTTTGGCGCCAGGCGCTGTGTTCCCAGGCAACCTAGACGCTTAAGCCCATTGGCGCCACCAACGGGGGTGGGGGGGTGGGGCTGTGTGTGCTCTGTGGGATATCTGGGGGCGCACACAACCCCACCCCTCGTTGGGGACGAGGCATAAAAGGGCAGCTCCCTGGACGATCGAGGCCAGTTGTAGCTCAAGACCCAAGACCAGCCATCTCAGGACCCTGGGATGCTGTGAGAGCCAGTGGTGGGACTCTGGAACTCCCGGCTCTATGTCCTTGTGAGGGCGAGTTCCAGAGCGTAGCCAGAGTAGTGAATCTAGGCTGTGTACCTAGGCTGTGTACCGAGGCTGTAACAGAGTATCAGGACTGTTGGAGTGTTGGATTGTCATAAAGAAGTTACCTCTACAAGTGTCTCTGGAACCCATTACACATAGACTGACATCGACTTGCTCATCTCTCATTGACTTGAACATGATTTTCTCATTAACTTCGCCCATTGACTTTGACATGCTTTTCTCATCAACTTTAAAATGCTATTCTTGGTTACACATAGACTGACATTAACTTGCTAATTTTTTCATTAACTTTTACATGCTTTTCTCATCAAAATAGATATGCTACTCCTACATGCTAATCTGAGCTCTTATGCGCTACGGAGCTAATTAACTTGGCATCCAACATGCTAATCTAAGTTAATTTCCTTTAACAAGCCACGCTATATATTACCTTTACACTATAATACCTCATTAACACTACTTCGGCTACCTTTGTTCTCAAAAACTTACGTAAACTCTTGCTGGTAACAGCTTCTCTTCACAAGGCAGCAGACATCGTGCTACTCGCAGCAGACATCGCGGCTGTCGAGATTTTAACCTGAAGACGATGGCTTGTGTTGCTATCGAAACGTCGTGATTTATTTTGTTTTATTTCTACCTACGTGACTTACCGAAAGAAACCAGAGTATTTACTAGGTTTGTTTTCTGTTTCATTTGTACCTGATGATGATTGCTTGTGTTGCCATCGAAACGTCGTATGCTATTATTTATTTTTTATTTCTGATGGCTGGGTGTATGGAATTGATGTGGTCGAGAAATTGGTCTAGAGTAGGCCTGCCATGTGGCCAGATGACAAAAGTGTCGTCTACGTACCTCTTCCATAAGGTCGGGCGTAGAGTGGCAGTCTGGATGGCGTATCTCTAGACCAATTTCTCGACCACATCAATTCCATACACCCAGCCATCAGATTCACCATGGAAGTCGAAAAAGATGGCAAGCTACCCTTTTTGGATGTCCTAATAAAAAGGAGACTTGATTTTAGCCCTTTGGTATTACTTATACTTTGTAACGTTAGTATAGTTAGAGTGTATACTTTTTATATAAGTTAAGATTCCTACTTGTTCAATGTATGCACCGTCCCGCCATAGTGAATTCCTTGTTTGTGCAAACTTACATGGCGAATAAAACCGTTTCTGATTCTGATTCTGATGGTTCAATGAGCCACTCTGTCTACAGGAAAGCCACCCATACGGATGCTTACCTAAAACCGGATTCCCACCACCATCCATCCCAGAAGAATTCCCTCATCAAGACTCTATATCATAGAGCCCAATGCATCTCCGACCAGGAACACATTGCCAGTGAACTCAAACACGTACGCCAAGCTCTTAAGGCTGATGGTTACTCCGACTACACAATCCGCAAAGCCATCACTCCAACCATCAAGAAGGATCCTGTTGAGGAGCCTTTCAAGACCATCACCTTACCCTACATTGCTGGGGTCACAAAAATATCTCCAAAATCCTGATTAAACACAAGATCCAGGTCCGATTCAACACAGTACATAAAATCCGTGATCTGGTACCGTCTGTAAAAGATGTGGTTCCAGACATACAGTACCCTGGCGTCTACAAACTAAGTTTCCTCTGTGGTAGCAGTTACATTGGGGAAACCAAACGACATGTCTCGGACCGCATCCGTGAACATAAAGCAGACCTGAAACACGGTAGGACAAACACCTCAGCCGTGGCAGATCACTGTTACAACTCAGTGGGCTCACATGACATTGACTTCTCCAAGACAGAGGTTCTCTGCAATCCATCTGGCTATCATGAGAGATTCGTTCATGAGGCGATCCACATATAAAAACACAGAGACAATTTTAACCGAGAAGATGGATTCTGGTTTGGCAATCATTGGAAGGACGTAATAAACCATTTCGGATCTTAACTGATTGTGTTCACGTTTACGGTGACTTTCAGACCGCGTTCCACTCACTGGCATTGTATTCTCCGCAGGGAATGGATTCTTTGCTCCGCTGCAAGTTTTCCCCCCACGACTCACCCATTGACACGACGGTCAATGGTACAGCGTATAATAACAAATAGTATAACATTTATATGCTTAATACAATGTACAAAGTAATATATAGTATCGTAATTGTATAGTAAACATATAGCAGTGTGATACACATTAGGGTGGGTAGAATAATACATAGTGTTATATTAAAATGTATAAGGTGGTTTATAGCAATACAGTATATAATTTAACGTTGGGTTTATCTATGGCAGTATATAGTACGGTGTATGCTCGTGTGATGTAAGAGAATAAAGTTTAGATGGAAGCATATTATATAATTTTTACGACGTAGAATTGTAATGTATTACTTGCTGTTAGTAACTCAGCTTATTGTAGAGTATAGTAAATATACTGATGATGCTATGTAGTTTATACTTTAGTTGTTTATGTAGTTTATACTTTAGTTTCTACGTGGTTGTTTAGTAACTGCAGCTACATACTATTAACATTCCTTTCCTTTGTTAATGCTACCCCCCTTCCCCCTCCCTTTGATGCTGCTAATCCTGCATAATGCACGGGCATAATATAAATTTGAAACCCCCCCGCCCACCTCCTACGCATTTTCCATATGCTAAATTCCTCTTGATTATACACTCCAAGCTTGGTGGTGTCTCATTCTTCACCTGAATACGGCTGCTTGCGTTGTAGCCGAAACGTCGTGAGAATTATTTTATTTTATTATGTTTTATTTTTATTATTTTATTACTTCCCTTCTACGTGACTTTACCGAAAGAACCAAGAAGACGGATTAAACTTGTTTTTAGCAAGTGGTTAACCAGAACTAAACCTTACAAAACGATTTGAACTGATTGAACAGTAACTGGTCCAAGTGTTTTTTGGATAGTCTGAACCGTAACCGATAATTAATTCAGTTTGATTCCCAAGTATAGACCACCAACTCAAAGGATGTGAAAGCTAGGCCATATAGACCACATAGATCTGTCCGTCCAAGCAGGTGTTAGTGAATAAAAAATACCAGATTCATCCTCATTGGGAGTCATCAGTAGCGTTATCGATTTTAACTTTCGTGCAGCAAAAATGTGGTGTTTAATTAGCAAGCTTACGCTGTCCCGTGAGGATGACTCCATCAATGTTCTTGTACTTCACCTCCTGGTGGATGTGGGAGGTGAATTCATTCGCAACCTTGAGGAAGTCAGGCTTCAGATCTCTATCTGGAATGTTCTCCAGCTTGCTTAAGTCTTCTGAGTTGACCGGCATGGGAAACATGAAGCACTTGCGCTTCTGTAAAACAACAACAATAAAACAAATAACGTCTCGTTCTCATACTTGTCTCTCCACACAAAACTTAACAGTATTTTTTTCTTTCACACACAACCCATTGAGAACACAACCTCAGAGTGCATCTCATCAGCAGCAAGGTGGATGTCGGTGTGGATGCGTGCCAGGCATCCCACAGCTCTCCCCCTCCTTGTCTGGTGCCCTTCTCTTTCCCTCATCGTCACATGGGGCCCTCTGAAATGTTTAGTGGTGACTAGGTCTTGTTGAGTCTCCTTATTCCACTAAAAATATCCATAAAAAATCATTGCAAACATGTTGCTTGATAAAAGAGAGAGGAGGTGTGAACGGAGAATAAAGAGAGAGACAATACCTCCTGCAACTACCTCGTCTCCGACTGAGTGTGTGAGCCGCAACCACACACACACACGCCAGGAAGAAGGAGGGCACTACATTTGGTGTCAGAAGTGGGGTTCTAAAAACCCACATGTAGTGTTGTCGGGACGAGAATGGTGAGACGGTCATCCCTCCGACCACCCCGGGACCCAGGATCTCGGTTACATTGGCTGTGGGGCAGCGAAAGAGTCACTGCGGATCGGCGCGACAGCCGGTATGCAGTTGTGGGAGACTGGCTACGCATCTTCGGGACAGCTGCTACGCATCTGCGGGGAAAGCGGCTACGCATGACAAAGTGAATGGCTGTGAACTGATGGCGAGAATGGCTGCACATCGACGGGGAGAGTGAGAGCTGTGCGCCAATGGAGAGAGCGGCTGTGCACATCGATGGGGAGAGCGAGAGCTGCGCTCCGACAGAGAAAACGGCTGTACATCAACGGGAGAGTGGCTGCATGTCAACAGAGAGAGTGAGAGCTGTGCTTAGATGGGGGGAGCAGTGGAGATTTTCCGCTGGCACGCGCAGACCACATGGCATGGCGGAGGACCGCCATGCAAAGAGGAGCGCGGGACGGTACGGAGGACGCATCCCAGGCGAAGGCGCAGAGAGGAGTGGCAGGGAAAACCCAGCTGGAGCTTCCATCGGAGCGGGAGTAGCGGACTCCGGACGGGGGACCGTGCACATGGTGTGCGCCATTTTGCCCCTGGAGGACCTGCCGTGGCTGGCGGGCGACATTTTGAGAAGAACGCGCGAATGCACGGAGGAGGTGCGAAGGTTGATGGAGCTGCAAAAAGCTGCTCCAGACCTGGCACGAGAGGCTCGCACAAGATTCCTCCAGAGGGAGAGAATGGAGGCCGAGACGCCTTAAGCCTTTTGGGTGGTGCTGCTGGTGCTGGGATGGGAGGCATACCCGCTCTTGGGTGAGGGGGCACTCGACCTTTGGGTGGCGGAAAGGTTGCGGGAGCTGCCAAGAAAGCTGAGGGTTGACCTGTCCTCGACTGCGGGCACAGAGATTTCATCCTCAACGGTGGCCCGGTAGATACAAGTCTTCAAAGAACACCAGCAACGGGCAAGGTGGGAGGCTGCGACATGGAGTATGGAAGACATGATGGTGGCGGTTGAGTGGCTGGGGGATGCAAGCAAGAGGATCCCCGTGGGGGGACCCACAGCAGGGGCAGTTCCATCTGCCTTGGAAACCCATGTCCAGGTGTCTCATGTATGGCCGGTCGGGCCACATCGCTGTGGAGTGTTGGGGTGACAGCATAGTCACCGACACCCTCCAACCCATTAGCAACGTCGACCCCAGCCTCACCGGACCCGGGTCTCTGAGGCCTATGGAGACCACCATGTGCGAAGTCTCAGGGACCTGATCCAGACAGCTTGGGAAAAACAAGGCAGTGAGGGGCCACGCCCTTGTAGCCGCGGGCTCCTTCTCCTTCATCATGTCTTCTTATCCCTTGGAGTCCTGGAGGTGCAAGACCCTGCTGAGATGGGGGTGACTGGTGCTATGGACCAGATCGCGTGAGCTACGTCCAGGTATCAGGGGAACTCTCCTTGTGCAAAGTGTTGCCAGTTCACGGACGTAGGCGCACTGGTGAGTAAGGTGTTACTTATTCACAGAGTGGGGCACCGAGTTGTTGAGAAAGGTTGACGAATTGCGAGATGGGAGGCGTTGCATTTGGTGAGTGCGTTGTTTGTTCGCGGCGGGCACCGCGGTGGTAGCAGGATTGTTGAATTTATTTTCTATTTTTTTTTTCATTTTTGAGTTTGGTTGGGTTAATGTAAGGGGTGTTCCTCCAGATTAGGGGTTTGCTCTGCCTGTACACTGGTTGCGGCTACTGTATTGGCAGCCGAGACGGCTGTTTATTTTTGTATGGAGGGGGGGGTAATGTAGTGACGCAGCGCCGACTGCTGTCCAGCAGTGGCAACTGCAGTGGACAGTTAGCACACACACCGTCGAGCATATACACGGGTGTGCCAGCAGGGCGGAGGAACTGGAGCAAGGCTCATGGAAGACCTCATAGAGAGGCCCCTGGAACCCTCTGGTGGGTTCTAGAAGGGAGGCATGGCGAGGGCGGAGCCAAACCACGCCGAGTAGAATATAAGCAGCAGAGAGCGAGAGCTCCAGGCTGCCGGTTCTGGGAGTGGACTCATCTCGTCGTCTATGTCGTCGTCGCTGCCGCCTTTCTAGCCGCCGCCTTTCTCGCTGCTGCCTTCGCCTGGGCATTATGCGGCCGGACAGTAGTTGGCTGTCTCAGTCGATGGAGTCAGTGCAACGTGGACAGGGTTATGTCTCAGCCGGATTGTACGGCTGCATGGTTGAGAGAGAGGAGGCTGGAGTTGGTGTGAACAGAGAATAAAGAGAGAGATGGTGCCTCCTGCAACTACCTCGTCTCCGACTGAGTGTGTGCGCCGCACACCACACGCACACACACGCCTGGAGGAAGGAGGACACTACACTTGTATACCCAGGAAACCTCAGTGAGTATTTTTTTCAGGAGTGTCTTGCCAAGTTGTGGTAGAAGTGGGCGGTGATTGCTTTTTTAGGTAAAAATTGAGTAAATTTTTAAAAATTGGCAAATTTGGACCATGATGCCAGCGTACAATGACATACACTTCAAGATAACGTCACACAGCCTTTAACGTCTGCTGTGAAGTAGATGGCATATATTTTTAAGGTTCATACACCAAAATAATTTATTATGGTGACTGCTGAAATCGAAACATGAGCATCTGCAACAAGTGGTGAAAGCGATACCACTCTGCCAGGGGCCGGCAACCTGGAGCCGCATGCAGCTTTTTAAGGACTGTTTCGTGGCATTATGTATTAAGGACCTCCATCTTATATTCATATACATTGTGGCTCTTGAAATATTAGAAAAACATGGCTCTTGATATTTTGGTTGCTGACCCCTGTACTAGGCCATGTCACTGTCCCTTCGAAAGGCTGTTTGCTGACAATGCATTCATTGATAAAAAAAAAAAACAGAATGGTGGAAGATTTCATGGTGCTGCAGACAGATCTAGACTGTCTAGTGGAGTCAACTCATATGAGCAAACTGAGAATAAATGTATCTGCGTTTTTGCATCAAATGTATATGTTTTGAATACACCCGAGAAGGCAATGTGGTGTATAAACTTAAGAGGTTACATACTTAGTGGTCACTCTTTTAATGACTTGCTCGGGGGTAAATATTGAATTGATTAAAAAAAGAAAATCTGATAATGAGGCACTCCCTCCATCCGGATACCTCATCAGAGGGTCCTCAAGGAAATTAAAATAGTGCAGTAATGAGTGGCAAGAGTTATACATTCTCTAGGAAACCAGTGATAACATGTTGCTAAATAAACTTAAGTAGGAATAACTGTAGAGCAGGTTCAAGGAAAGCCAGACTCAAATATGTTTGTATATCTAGTCTTAATAAAGGACTTCAAACACTTAAATATGTGCATTCTACAGCCTTCATACATTAGTAGAATGGGAAAATACAAACATTATAAACTCATTAAATGATTATGTAAATATTCTACAGCCCATGAGTGAACTGAGATCCCCTATAATCTTAAAAGGTAATAACTTTTTTTACAAGTGAATTTGTATTATTATTAAATTATTAAATTTGTAGAGGAGTAATATGGGGATGTGACATCGTGTGTGCCTTCCAGTGTGATGACGGAACGTGACGTCATGCGTGCTGGGCGGCCCGATGACGTCATATCTCCTAGAGTATTTAAGGGAGACCCCGTGACGAAAGCGGGGTCACTGTGGGAATGGGTAGAGTACGATGGGTGAAGAGGGAATCAGGGGTAGAGAGGGTTCGAGTAGTGAGTCTGAGGAGAAGCCGGTGAAAGCCAAAAGAGATGCTCTCTCTCTGGTCGGTGGAGTCGGCAGAGTCCCCGATCCGACACGAGAGAGAGACCGGAGCTAGCCAGGCAGGGACCAGGACTCAGTGTAGGACCCCTAGCCCCTGGGAGTTGTGTACCCTTGTGTGTTATTGTTAACCAGTAATAAACCCTTGGCGAAAGCCCATATGTAACGGGCGTATGTGACGCAGGAGAAGTTGATGGATGCAACACGTATTTATTACAATTTAATTTAATACAGCAGAGTAACGACTCTAACACTCGAAGAGGTATCGGCCTCTTCACCCAGTCTATTAGAGGAAGTGTTCCCCAGCTAATGCTCCCCGTTAACTCCTTACGTACCTCTATCCCAGACCTTCCCCAAATGTAGGCTAGCTAACCTGGCCCAGCTTCGGTGCAGGTTCTGACCCTCAGCCACACGAGTCTGGCCCTTACAAGGACATCAGACCTCGCTGCTCTGAGGTCGCCACTGGCTTGCCCTGCTTGGCTCTTACAAGAACAGCGAGTCAGGGTAGTGCCAGGTCTAGCTCGCTGGCCTTCAGTCTTCACTGGCTCTTCATCTTGATCTGTACCCAACGACTGCCTCGAGCTCTCTCACTCTCCGCCTTATATACCAACATGCCCTCGAGGGGCGGGGTTGTGTGGGATCCCAGCCTCCCCCCCATACAGCCCCCCAGGGTGGTAACCGTTTGCGGACGTGGATGTAGACACCCCAGTGTAACTGCCCGTTTCTCCCCGTTACATAACA